ATAATTAATAGAAAATGAAGGCGATTCATGGCCAGTCGTGCTCCATTTAGAAGTAATCTAATGATTGAGGTGTCAGTGTGTGCTTTTCTTTCCTCATTTGTGGCAGAAAAGAGCCAGGCAGGAAACACCCAGCTGGCTTAGAAGCTGCAAAATGTCAGTGCAAGGTAGAGGACCTGCTTTGAATGAATGGAAGGTTGAAGCACATAGGGAGACCCGCCGGTCTATGTGGGTTCATGGGAGGAAACATATGTTAATAAAAAATAGTGTGTTAACATATTTCTCCTCCATTGTTGCTGGTCATCACTTTATAAGATGCGATGGTTGGCGTTTGTGTTATTTGTCCCGCCCCTCTTCCACTGTGATTTGACGACTAAGTAAAACGCGACAGTGACGAGGGCAGCGCTTTACGCAAAGAAAAAAAAAAAAGACACAAAATGTGCAGTCTCTTCTAGATTTAGTAACTTTTTAGACCCTCTTGATGATTTTATTTTTTATAAAGCACGAATTTAGCAACGCTTTCGATTTACCAGTCCATCTTTTTTTCCAACTCTCACCTTTGGTCATGATCTTTGGGTAGTGACCGAAAGAATGAGATCGCAGATACAAGGGGCTAAAATGAGTTTCCTCCGAAGGCTGGCTGGGCTCAGCCTTAGAGATAGGATGAGGAGCCTAAACATCCAGAGGGAGTTTGGAGTAGAGCCGCTGCTCCTTCGCGTTGAAAGGGGCCAGTTGAGGTGGTTCGGGCATCTGATTAGGATGTCTCCTGGGTGCCTCCTATTATAGTTTTTTAAGGCATATCCAACTGGTAGGAGACAGACCCAGAACATGATGGTGGGACTCTATATCTCATCTGGCCTGGGAACGCCTCAGGTTCCCCCAGGAGAAGCTGGAAAGCGTTGCTGGGGAGAGGGACGTCTGGGGAGCTTTGCTCAGCATTGTTGCCTGACCCAGCTCCAGATAAGCGGATGAAAATGGATGGATCAATGGACAAATTTAGCGACTAAACAGACTCTCAGGAAGAAAATAGAGAAACATGTTTTATTTTAATTCATTTATGCAGTCCTTGGCTGTTCCATCTTCAGGGTCTTTCCCTCTCACACAGTGTAGTAGGTGTGGGAGAGGCAGGAAAGGAGACCCTGCTCACCAGGGAGTTCAGCTGTAGCAGTTAGTTAAGTTGACTCTCTTGCTCTATGGATTGGAAACACGAGTAAGTGGTGCGCTACATTATGAGCACCATAGCTTTCATGCTATTCAAATGTTTTGAGAGAACTTTTCTATTCAATCTAATTCAGCAAAGTCTTAATGCTTCCATATATGCGCAATGATGTTATCCAATATGCAAAGGAGCGTATGACATCATCTGGAGACTTTTGGCAACTTTTGGAGGTAGTACTACTTTTATTGGACAACATTGTTCGGATTTTGTTTGTGATGGTGACCAAATGTTGTTTACTTTGTGGTCATTGCCCCAGTAAGAGCAACTACTGTCATATTTCAAAATAACGTCACAGTTAGTTGATGGATTGAATATATTATGCTGCAGTCCATGGACAGTATAAAGTAAACTGACTAACGATAATAACGCCAATCACAGTGCGTATAGCCATTCCCATACACTAGGACGTCCATTGAAATGCATTACAGAAAGTCAGTTTCGTTCGGTTTTATGAGCTTTTTCGGAGATTTGAAGTTTAAAAATGGTCAAAAGGTGTGCATGGGGTACATGCAACTCAAACACAAGGTATCCTGAGAGGCTGGGCGACAAGGTGTATTTTTTACCCTTTCCTAAACAACATCTCAACAGAGAAAAGTGTATCATTTGGATAAAGTTGTGTGGTAAAATTAGACCACAACATCAACTCAACTTGAATAAGATTAACAATGATGTTTACATCTGTTTTAAGGTAAGTCAACATCGTGTTTGAGGCAACATATTGTCACTTTGCTGGAAAGAAATATAAAGTTATCTTTAACATCTCTAGCTAACGTTAGCTCAAGTTAGCCTAACGTTAGCTCCTAGCTGCGTTGTTCATCATGTCACCTTGTTTGCTGGGAGTTCATTAGCCTATTTTGTTCTAGTTTTGTACTTTGGTGATCGTACATCATTGTTAGCTGTTGTCCAAAGGCCTCTAGTTAAGCTAACGTTAACTTCTGGAGCTTAGCTTCATTAACTTATCTGTAATTGCAGAGATAACAAAGGTTGGCAAACGTTATGCTGAATGATTCAGTGTAAATACTGTAGCACCAAACTAACGGAGAGACACTCTTGGTAAAGATGGTAAAAAGGCCGTTATTATTTCTCATATTCTGAGCCAAAAACTTTAAGTTCAGTGGCACTTTAACTTGTTGTCTTTGATGGCGACAGCAACCACATGCGGTTCACAAGCGTACACGGTGACCTGTAAATTTTGGCTTGTAATTTAAGCTTTTCATCGACCTTCTCAATGATGAATATATCCCTCCAATGTGTAGTTTAGGTCCTTTTGGTTACTTCTCAATGACATCTGATCGTTATGTCCCCAAAAATCATCAACTGCCTCCTGCGAAATGCCGTGTACTGTGACACCTGCCATAGCGCTGGTCACTGAATGTTGACAGTGAGTGAGTGGAGGTGGCCGTGGCTTAGCCATAGGTCAATTGGATTTGTTTCTCAAATCTCAAATTATTTCTGGTGATCAGATCAGATGTGTGTGCTCTGACATCACAAATCTATCGGCATTGGCTGCAGCTTTCCAATGCAAAAGCATGAGAAATGGAGGTCTATCACCCTCCGAACAATTTCTGTCCACACAGACTGGTGTTCTTTATGTTGTCCTCCATAGTGCTCTGCATGTAGGAGCATGGATTCTGCTCAGCACTTTTGTCGCTCTGGATTTGACGTCGTCATTGTGTGTCACTTTGGTATCCAATTTAATTGGCCAGAGCGTTCACACTGAGATGCAACTGTTGAAATTTGATTTGAGCGAACAGAGCAACCAGACTGAGATGCATCTGTAGAAATCCAATTTAAATCACATTTCAAAACAACTCCAAACGTGGTTTGGATATGATTTGTCCAGACTTTAGAAGATCAATCTGGATTTGCCAAAAAACAAAAAAAGGTTTTACTACCAGATTTTAGCTGGCAGTCTGAACAAGACCTTAGTTTGAGACCCACTGACTCTCTTTGTAACATTCACCTTGTCCTGTGATCACTTCCAGCCCACACATATAGACCCACATACATTACTTGATAACTTCACAACATGTCTAACATTTTTTCAACCTTAAATTTTCATTCTGAGAATAACTTTCGAGGGTGGAATGTTTTTTAAATTCCAAAGTCCTTCAGTATTTAAAAGTTATGCACCACTTGAGGTCAGATTTCATTTTGACAACCCAGAAAAATGTTCTGTTTTCTATTTCTACTCTATTTTCAGCATTTCTTCCTTGACAGAATCACTTCAATATTTTGTTTTTCACCTGAACTTTCCCTTAAAAATCCCCCAGATAGGGCTTTTTGCCACAAGTCTTGCACAAAATACCCATCCACACAGCTTTGGCACTTTCAGTTTTTATGATGACACAAAATAACATAGAAGATGTACTCTGTGGTTTCACCTTGCTCTAAATGTCCAAGCCTGGATTACTTGGACTTCAATACGCAACAGTTAACTTAATCTTTTTCTCTATTTAGAAGCAAAGGTAATGGAAAAAATGCACGAAAAGAACAGTTTTTACAAGGCTCTTATTGCAATTCTTTTGATATGAGACAGTGGAAATCTTTTCTTGTTTTTTGTTTTTTTGGGGGGAGTTGTGCAGTCCAGACAGTCCTGAAAGTAGCAGAAACAAAGCATCCTTTAAAAGATCTTTCTTGGTTTCTTTTCTCTGTGTTTGATGAATGTTCATAATTCTAATGACATGTAAGCCATTCAAGGAGGCTGCATCAAATCGTATACGTTGAATCACGGAGGAAATGTGGCTTTAAGATCTCTGACATGAAATCACAGTTACACGTTAGTGTTTGACAGCGTGGAAATTGAAGCGTAACTGAGCATGTGTGTCTGTGTGTCTTCAATCTACATTTACAGTTTGTGAGTGAGCATGTGTGTATACTCCCTGCGCGTGCATGTGATTTGTGTGCTGGTGCATGAGTTAGTGTCACTGTAATTGAGACCTTTTAGCATCGTATGACATTTTATGTGGGGGATAAAACATGGGGACTGTATCTGGATGGCAGAGATTCTGATTGGATGAGCATCCGCGAGAGGGCTTGACTGGCATTAAATTAATATGTGCCACCTGATCTACATCATAACACCTGTCACAGTGATGGCTTGGCTGCAGACAGAGAGAGAAATACACGCAGGCAGACCAGTTTCGGTGTGTGAGATCAGTCAAAGGAGGATATTAAGGCTGAATTAAATCCGTGGAGCTGTCAGACTGGAGAAGACCATACATAAAACTGACTGGTGTGGGGTGTGGCACACTGCACTGATGCTGTGTGTGTGTGCATGAGCATGCGTGTAAAATGATGCGTCCATCCACTACTGGCACACACACAGCTGAGCTGAGAGCAGCCCATCGTTGCTGCGCCAGTATACGCCCGCTCAGCGGTTTGCGCTCCACTCCCTCCCGTCCCCATATATATAAACCTTCAGGCGTGGCGGGACGATAAATCACATGACTAACAGAGCGAAAGACCCCGTCTGCTGTGAAAAGATGGCCTTTCATGAATATATATGGAAAGAGCGTGTGTATCTTTGCCAACTCGCCATCTCAAGTCTGCTCTCCCTGACATGATTGAAGATTGAGTGATTATGTGACGCTGGTGGTGGCACACCCGCTGTTTGACGGTGCATAGGCACACACACACACACACACACGTAGATATGCACACTTGACATGCATAAATGGGAAATAATGTGTGTGAGGAGGGCAGAGACTGAAACACAGAGAGAGATTTGACTCAAGTAACACACTCTCACACACCCACACTTGCGCTCACACTCGCACTACAGCTGCTGTCTGGCCGGCAACATCCATCTTCCACCAGATCAGGGAGAGTGACAGATTGCTCTCCAGGCGGCTGATCGAAGGGCCACCGGTACCAGTTAGCCAATCACAGCAGGAGAGGATCAAGCCAAATAGCTGAACCCTCAAGACCACAACACACACCCCGCACCCCAGCTCACCTCCGTCTCGTCTCCCCCTCTGTCCAGTGCTTTCTAAAGTAGTGTCTAGGGACAAGTGTTACTCTGAGGATTAGGTTGGTTGACCCAAATTACAAGAAACAAAGAAACATTATCTAGTGTTCCCCTGTTTGTATCAGCCATACAGATAGTTATGGTTTTATAGGTTCAGGTTTTGATTGTTCTAGAGAGAGTTCATCCTGATATAAAGGAGGTAAATGTCACTCTCTGAGTCCCTGCTGGTCTATTTTACTCATACCTGCCACTGAGGAAACATGTGAGCTACAGTCCTCTCTGTAGGACATGATTTTTCTGTACATAGATACTTTATAGCAAGCAGTGTTATTTTGTGTCTGTGATCTCCCTATCTTAGGCTGAGCTGTCATTTTTGTCTGCATACACAGCCGACTATGTTCTTTTTGCATGGAAGTCTACCTGATAACAACCTTTTAAGTCAAAAATAAAAATGAATCAAACTTTTGGACGCATGCAAATTTCAGCATGCAGCAACGTCCTTTTCTTTATTCACTGAAGATAAAAAAAACCTCCCCCATGAAAGCTTCTCAGTGGGGTCTGTGTGTTATCCACAAGATCAGGGACACTGATTAATGTTAGCATTTAGCTCAAAGCAATGCTACAATTATGTATGGTCCCACAGAGCCTCTAGCATGGCTGTAGCTCCTTAGTCTTGTTTAAATGTCATTTTTTGATGCTGTGAGCACCATAATGAAAACTGAAACGTCGTCACGCATTTGTTACTACTACTACTACTACTACTACTACTACTGACAACAATTTCTCTCTATAGACACCAGACTACAGAAAAGTCCTAAGTTAAAAGGCACTTTACATGTGTTGGGGAGTACAACTGTATAATGTGAAAAACATTGGAAACCCTTTGTGGTTCCAGAGAGAGCTGCACAAGAAATGATAAAAGTCCAGCAGTGATGGAACTTGAGTTAGTATTGGTTGGATCTGAAAACTACAAGTTTGAAAATGAAAGGAGAGTTTACCAGACCTCTGTGGCATGCACCTAATCTACACTTGTGGCTAATTGTTTAAGGCTACATAAGCTGCTATTAACAATTGAGTAACACCTGAATCTTTAACCAAACTGTTTGCAGTCGAGTTGCAAAGCTTGGCATAAAAAGATGACATCTCTGGTTCTGCAGCATTGATTTAAAAAACTAAATAAATAAAAATGAAAAACTCAAGTGCAGAACTCCTGGAAAGTCCTCATAGGCCCCACCCACTGCAGCATACGTCACACGTGCTTTTCTGCATTAACCACGCCCACTTCAACTTTCTGACCAATCACACAATAGTTCTCAGACACCACACAAGAAAAAAGTTCTGCCCAGATAATGTCAAGAACAAGCTGCAAGAACTCCCAAACCAGGGCTGCAAGAAAAGAATGACATCTTTATTTTATTGCAGCCCTGTGAGAGAGAACATATTTCTCTGTTCTTGCGGGTATGTAAAGGCCTTAAAAACCTAAACCCTGACCCATTAACTGATTATCTAAAAGCCTTTTAGCCTTTCCTCCAGGCTAATCTTTTTTATTTCGGGATGTCTTCCTCCAGCAAGCTTGCTAAAAATGTTGGCTAATGCTACATAGTAGGGCATTAACGACTTTGAATTTTTACAGGTCGACTTATCTGTCAATAAAGTCGAAGTCGAGTCAACAAGTCATTTGATGACGTCATCACATTGACACGGTGGAGGAAAGTGAAGTATCTCCACACTTGTGATGTGTGTCGGCCCGAACATACTCGGGTGGAACGTACAAGGAACAGACTCTGCGGAGGTCCGCGTGCACTGCACTCAACTATGAAAGCCCGAATGACTGCGGACATTCCTCGCGGAGTCTGCTCCGCTTATAGTATGCCCAAGTATGTTCACTTCCAGGATAAAAGTATCAGCGTAAGCCAATCAGAGGCAGCGATTGCATTCCGTACACAAGCACACAGAGAGAGAGAGAGAGACACACACACGACTTGTCGACTTATGCCACTGACGTTGACACGTCGACAAATCAACTTTTCTGTTAATGCCCTACTACAGAGCTGGCAATGCTAATAATGATGATTTACAAGAAAATCTAACTGAACAATATTTTTAAAGCAATATGTCTATGCCCCAAAGGGTCTAACTTTACATTTTTACTAATAATAAGAAAAATCTTTTTTTTCCCAAAATAAATTAAATGACTCTCCCCATGAATCCCAAATCCTCCATCATCACACACTCACACACACACACACACACACACACACACACACACACACACACACACACATATAGCTTTGACCATCCAAAATCATGCAGTACATCATCGGCATCAGCGGTGTAACCAACAGAGGGAAACCCACCCTCACCAACCGACTGATCAAGAACCTGCCCAACTGTTGTGTGGTACATCAGGATGACCTCTTCAAGCCCCAAAGTCAGATAGAAGTTGGTGAAGATGTCTTTAAGCAGTATGATGTCATCACTACTCTGGGCACAGACACCATGATGAGTACGATCTATGCAAGGTTGGACAACCAAGTGAAGTCTGAGAAGTCTCATGACATCAGTAACACCCTGGATACTGAGACTCACATTCTTATTGTGGAGGGCTTTCTGCTTTACACCTACAGACCTTTGACTGATGTGTTGAACCAACATTACTTTATTTTCATCCCATATCAAGAATACAGGGTTTTGCATTTTATATGTATATATACATTACAGATCATTACTATCCAATTTGATCACAGTTTAATATTGTACAGCCATTCAATACATGTGTCAAGGGTAGGTTTTGCACCATTGGTTAGGAAAGGAATTAAGGGGGTTGGGGCATCTTCCTCCATCTTACCCTACGTAACTGTTAGCTTATTAGGTCACCTCGCCATTATGGATAAGTGCCGCACAGTGATTTAGCATCAGCTAGTTTACATGATTGCACTAGAATTCATGGATAACAGTTAGCCTATCAGTCATGTTGTGCACTGTAAATTAAATGTGTGTGTTTGCTTTTTTTTTTAAAAATGAATAGGCCCATTTTTCTTCACTAATGATATGTTGGATTATTGTTAATGTGTATTTTCAGACATATTAAAAAAATAAAAAAATAAATTATCAAACAATAACTTGACGTCCTTGCTGCGGTAATTTTAAGGACCCCTCATATTCTAGAAGTCCATTTAGCAGTTGTTTAATAAAACAATCCTGCAGCACCTTATTTGGATTTGAAAAAGTGCTTTTTTTCCAGCAGAAAAATATTCACATTGATCTATTGACGAGACATTTCTCTTAATTCCTGCCTTTCACAAAGAGAAAAGGGAACCGTGATAACAATAACCTTCCGCTGCATTATCCTTATCCTTCAGTCCCTTGTGTCCCTACACCCACCTAACACTTCCAACTACCGCAGCATCCCCCCATCATTCCTCTCTTTGGATTTTTTTAATTTCCCTCCAATTCTTCTACTCTCTCACACCACACAATATCTTCCACATTTTTCCTGTATACCTTCACACCATAACTGCTCCTCCAACTCAATCAATCCACCCATTTTCCTTTGTATCAAGCACACTACATTATTGACTGGTTTCTTGAGCCATTCACTCCTTTCCCTCCTAACTTCTGTTCTTCTCACTTTCATTTCAAATCAATGTTTTCATTATTTCTATCTCAATCACCGTCTTTTTCATTTTACTGATCTCCTCTCTTTTCTTTGCTTCATTTTGCTCCATATATCTTATTTCTCTCAATTGATTCCCCTTTTACTATCTATTCTCTCCTCTTCCTGTCACCTCCCATCTCTCCATCCCTCTGCCCACCAGCTTTCCTATCTATTCTATTCTTTCCTCTCTGTATGCTGGCTCTTTATATTGGCTTCCATTATCAGACAATAATCACTCCACCCCTCATTCATTCCAGCCATTTTTACAGCGCAGTATTTCATCTCACTTCTCCATTTCCCTCATCATTCATTCATTTTCTCTTCTGCTTCCATCTTTCCACCCTGTGAAGCCACCACCATCTCCCTCTGTCTTCCTCTCCATCTTTGTTTTCTGGTACAGTGCACTCTCGCAAACCATCTCTCCGCTCTCACTTTAACCCTTCACCTCATAACAGAATCATCATCATCTTCAGCTCCCCAACTCTCTCACCCAGGCCCACTGGGGAAGACGCTGCATCCATGGCAACGTCTCAAACACTGTTGCCGTGGCAGCCCTATCAGCTAATTGTGGCAATTCTCTTCTCATCCCCCTCCCCCTCCACTTTTCATCCCTCCATCATCATCGTCTCCCCTCCCCCCGACTATTCCTCGACTCTCCCGTTCCTTGTTGCTTACCCTGTCTTCTAACCTCTGTCTAATTTTTCTTCCACCTATTTTTTACCTATCTACACCAACCCTTCCATCATTTTTCTATGATTTTCCGTCACACTTTTTCCTTTTTTACTTTGCTACAACAGTAAAAGTCAGTTAACCGAGCACTGAGCCATTTCAAATGTGTCTTTGTACCTTCTTGTATTGTTAAGTACTCTGATAACTCAAAGTATCAGATCCAAATAAACTTGTTCCAAGATGTTCTTGAACCAAATATCACTCTTTTTCATATGCTTGCTTCTGCTTATTCCACTCCGCCCATTCACAAGCTTCCAAATAATCATTGTACGCATGAAATCGTAATTTACAGTACACAGGTTTCCAAACTATGTAATTGTGAGTAGCAGGTAGAAAACTAAATGGGATAACTGAGATCTGTTTATACCTGGTACTAACATGGGTCTTGAGTGATAAGATCACAAACTGACAGTGCAGGTGTAAATTAGCCTGGAAATCCAGACCCAAATCCAGAAAGATTTAGGGTCTGGCTATGAGTAATGAAAATGGCCCAAACTTGAGGGGCGGCAACAAGCATGCATTTGAAAATATCACTGCACGCAGTTGGATAACACTACAACC